ATATGACGCGAAATGATGCAAGGAACACCTGCTTGGACATCCAACGCTTCACTGAACCTTCAGGCAGCAGTCCAAGTATTAAGGTCAAAACCACCATCTGCACCACCTATAAATCAAGGTTGTATTATGTGTGACAACTTGAAATACTAAACAAGAGAGAACTTTCATAGCTTTCTGTGTCTCACAGGCATCTTTAAAAAATAAATAAATAAAAAAATGCTATGGAATGACAATAATTCCAAGGAATGGTTATAAGCAAAAACATGTAAAATGTCAAATGCATTACATTAATCAGATATTCAAATGCACTACATTATTCAGATAATCAAAATATCTCTATTTTAACAACACTAAACGGAGGTGATTCTGAAATAAAAAAATAGCATTACATTATGAGATAAAGAAAGGAGAGGATATGGAGTATAAGATACATATTGGAAAAACAGCAAGAGTGAGAAAGGAGAAAAGAAAGACCTATAACCATATTTTTCTGTTTAAGGCAAAGTTGCATTCAACAGGTTAGAGATAACTAAAGCAAAGCTGTTATGTTGGTAATAAAAATTATTTTATAAGTCAAAGGTTGGCCTTAATTATTAAAAAATATTATAATGCTATTTGGACATTTTCCTCAATAACCACCAACCTCTCAAATAAATCTCTGAAAATTGAATTAAAAAAAAAAAAAAAAATGCAACTCATATAGGAGGGGACCCCGTGCTACATCCAACTAAACTGAATGAAACTGAACAAATATGAACGGGTCATTTCCTATGGAAGAAATCAATCAAAACCTAAAATGGAAGAGACCACAACTTGGTAACTGTCTTCCAACAGAGGCACAGCAGCAACAAGAGACATCATCACTTACCCCAATAATGAGGATAAGGATTCGCAATGGCAGGAGGAGGAAGTACCGAAGGATGAAGCCCACCACCCAGAAGATGGTGAGCCGCACGCTGATGAATTCATACTGGCAGTTAGTTCGTGTGAGGAAGTTCCACGACTGGAAAAGGGAGCACACATACATAACATCAATATTCATTGCATAAAATACATCTGTATCAAACACATTCATGGAGAACATCCACATCAAACACTCAATAAGGCCGTGTTTCAATTATACATGGTGAATATTTGTATTAAGTGTATGTGAAAAAGACCTGTCTCAGCTGTACAAGTCTATTTGCATTTATCATACACAACACAAATGTGTAATAATTGAGCATGAAAAAAAAAATATCTGCAAACTATCATACAAAAAACACGCCTGTCACTATACATGAAGAACATCTGATTAGTTACATATGAAATACATCTTTGTAAATGCTA